TTGAAAGAGTTAAATATGTGTCGCTTTCCAACCTCTCTGCAGTGAATAATGCTTGATGTTGCCTAAAACATAAACTTGACTATGTTACAAAACGTTTTCGGGGATGATGAGGTAGTGTAGTGGTTAATAAGTTCGCTTGTCATGCTAAAGACCCGGGTTCGATTCCCCACATGGGTACAATATGTGAAGTTCACTTCTGGTGTCCCCTGCCGTGATATTGATGGAATGTTTCTAAAGTCGGCGTCAAAACTAAACTCAGTCGCTGCGAGTCGTTTCCCAATCTCAAACTTACATTTAACTGGAAATGTGTCTATAAAAGAAGTCGGTATGAAACGACCATCAGCAAAGAGATGTGACATAATCAACAACTCCATGACTAAATAATTAAGTAACAAAGTAGGGAAACCTAAACTTTCAGTTTGGATAGGAGGTAGAAACGAAGTTCAAACCTTTCAAAGACATCTTATGAACGCACCACCATTTCTTTTTACCACCACTCCTAAACACAACGCATGGGATGCACGTGCACAAAGCAGTAGCCGCATACACGTGCATGGGGTGTCATTCTTGATTTTGAAAGTTTTCAAGAAGGTCCATCAATCACTTTTAGACTATTAATTGTGACAATCATCTTGCATCACACAGTTGTTAGTGTTTGTTTTTAGTCTGGATTTTTTTTCTTTGTTTGGAAATGAAAATCGTACACATGCAAATTTAACGTCATACACAATCATCTTCTAAGAGCGATTACTGTACAAATATCTATGATCATAAGGAAGTGCAAGCGGTGATACACTCTCTAAACATTCATTATTACCATGCAAACATTAATTGACTCCGATATATCTCAAATTTTTCCATCGTAAAAATAGTCCTAATATAGCAACACGCATTCCTACTGAATCTTAACAGATATAATGCAATACACATACAACACCGTTCTACAATGTCCACAAACTCTGACACATGGCTACTCTCCCTCAAAGGAGAAAGGAAGCTTGACTATAGAAAGTCTTTGCTCATTAAAGGATAACTGCTAAAAGTAGAGTTAAAAAACATTGCACGAGAATAGTATGAACAGACCATGCCTGCAGTCAGATCCCATCACCCTAACCAAAACGGAATGATGTATCTGCATTAATATTTTCATTGACTAACTATGCTTCATGTCCAAATCAAATTTAACCCATTCAACACCGTAGGCTGGAAAACCGGCCAAGACGTCACGAGTACACAGACACCGAAGGCCGGTTTACCGGCCAGGCAGTAGGCCCATCAGATTGACATATAATTTTAGGAACCTACCTAACATATGATTCATTTATTAAATCTATCACTTTTCACAATGTCTGAAAACACTTACTTCATTCAAATGACCATATATACTCAGCAGCAAAACAAACGTCAGTACGAAAACAAAAATAGATAGGCACTGTAATCAAATCATTACAGAAATTGACATGATAAACGGATCAAACAATTTTTGGGTGTACAATATCTTGACAAATCAATGAATAAATCAGCACAATTTCAGGCACCCGTGAAGAGCCACCTCCTCGTGGTGGGTGCTGGGTAACGCTAAGCGCTCTTCAACCCCCCGAGTGGACCCGGGGGCATAGTGGTCCACAGCAACCCATTGTTGGTCTTTAGACCAAATTGGGCGACCCGTTTGTCCCTGGGGATCGCCCCTGTGTCGGTGGAGGAAGGGATTCTGGTGGTTAAGAGCATAGGAGCCAGGAATAGTGTTCCTATTGCCCAACACACCACTTCGGCCCTAACTTCACCTAGACGGGTGGTTGAATGGGCCCGGTTCAATCAATCGGCTGTTCACGCCAAGCCTTGTGCATGGATTGTATATATATGTCATTGCACAACTTTGATTTGGAATTGTTTTAATTTTGGTCTTGGCCCACTTGTTCATCCAAACAAGTTTACTTGATTTTGAAATCTGATCTTAATAAAATTTGCCTAGAGTCTTCATGCCCAGACGGCGGTGGCTCATGGGCCAATCAGGTGGAAGAATTAATCTATTACTTTTTCTGCTGGAGTATATCATCCGGGTATAAATAAAGCTGTATTTTACAGATTCCGTTAATCTTTAACAAATTGCATTAATTGTTTGTTTTTTTACATTTTGTGTTAGGTGTTTACACATTGCGTTAAAGACATTTTTTAAAAATTTAGCGTTGTTTTTTTATTTTCTACATATTGTCTTGATTTTACATATTGGGGTTGTACAGGGCCAAGTCAGGCTGAACACAGAGCTTTACTTACAACAACATGCGCACTTATAATACTCCGCTTTGAGACTCTGTAGGGTGGTATTTAGGTATTCTATTAATACTAACAAAGTTCAAGATAGATCTCTGAAGTTGAAGTTATTTTTGAAAGCCCTGGCTAAGAGGGACCAAACACTTGTGAAATAAAGACTATGCTGGGAATGTGGAAAGAGAGCTTTAGTTTAAGCAAATAAATCACTTTGAGACTCTTTCAAGTGATATTTAGGTAGAACACAACTTAGGCTAGATATGTGATTTTTATGTTTACACAATGTCATTTTCAATATCGCTCTAAATTAGCCAAATTAAGTCAAAGTTAGTTGAAGTTTGTGTCATGATACTTATAAACATACTTTGATTTATTTACAACCTCCAAAACATGAATTCTGAGCGAAACTAAATATTCTCGCCCATAGGCCACTGTTCGAGTGAATATAAATTTTGAGTTTTCGGAAACATTTTTATAAACATACCTTCATTCATTTATAACCTCAAAAAACATGAAACATTTTTTCATCCTTATCATATATTCATGACAGCTGCATGTTTAATTTTGTCAAATCCCTTGTCAGAAAGTGGCCACAGTGCGGAGAGTTTCTGGACTTTTGGGTGTCCAGAATTAAATTGTGACGTGTTCATTAGATAACGACAAAGGGCATTTAGCAACATACATCACCAACACTATACGACCTCTGTTGTTCTTTCCCAGCTAAGAAACACCTTTTCACGTCAAGTGATCACGTCCAACAAGCCGTCGATTCACGTCACGTTCATTTTTTTTGTTACTAACGGAAAAAGTAACTGTCATAACATAAAATTGCATAAAATAAAAGTTATTTTGAAAAGTTATAAAATAACCCTAAATAAACATGTAGGAAAGAATTTTGCATGAAATTTGATGTAATATATCGCGTGCATTTTATGCACACTGAACTTACTTACTTTTTGCATGCTTTTCGAAACCTGAAGTTAACACACCTGATATATAAAATTGAAGAACGATTGATTATTCTCTAGCCCCTGAATGTCGTGGACAACACGTTAATTTCAACCTAAACTGCGGGTACGTCATGCGTCAGAAAATCAGCGTCTCCGCGCAGTGGGTATGCAGGAGACTGAAATGGCCCTAATGAAGTGGCCAGACATTTTGGTGTCCATCGAAACACGATCTCGTCTCTGTGGCGACGTTTTCAACATAATTGGAACAGGAGAGGTTTGCCTCTGACCGGCCGCCCACGCGCTAAACAACCACTTTCGGCTAACCCCTCAAAGGAATCGATTCTAGACTGCCATGTTGACTGCTCGGACCATTGCTGCCTTACGTCCAATCAGTTCCAGAACTGTACGGAACCGACTGAGGGGAAGGTTTTGCTCCAACGTCACTGACAGGCACGTCTTGCCTGGTGCGGACAGCATCTACGGTACAGGAGAAAAGATTGGGATGGTGTTATATTCACCGAGGAGTCGAGACTGGGCATAGACGGCGAGGTGAACGGTGTGCTGACGTGTGCGTTATTCAAAACGTCGACAGTTTGGTGGCGAAGCGTTATGGTATTGGGGAGGCATCACATCTCATGCTTGGACACAACTTGTCATTGTCAATGGCAGTCTGGCAGATCTGTGATACATGGATGAAAGTATTTGCTCCTCATGTGCAGCTGTTCTTTCAAGAACAGAGAAGTAATTTCACGCTTCAGCAAGATAATACCCGTCCGCATATCGCTCGTGCTGTGACAGATTTCCTGAGACAACAGAACGTTACGGTACTTCCCTGGCCAGCTGTTTCTTTGGACCTGTCCCTTAACGAGCACGCTTGGGATGGAATGAAGAGGTGTTTACGTCAAACCCAGAATGAACCATTTGCATTAACTGAAATGGGACAAGAATTGGTTCAGACGTGGAACAACATTCCTCAAGCTTTCTTCAACCACTTAGTGTCGTCTAAGCGTTGTCACTGTCAAGCCTGCATCAACACCAGTGGTAGACACACACACGATAGTGAATTTGTGAACTAACTTTGGCACCACATCCCTTCAAGGGTGTGTCACGATGCCTCGTCTCAAATCATACAGATTTCGATCTTATCCTGTCAACAGTAAAACAATGATTAGGAAAACACCACAAATCATGCCATTATCCTTTGGATTAAAAAATGGCATAATATCAAATAAAGCACAGTTACTTTATTTCAGTAGTATATTTTGATGTCAGTATGAATAGAATGTATATCGTACAAACGTATATCAACGTAGGGATGCAGACAATGTTTTAAGGAACAGCATGACAGCTTGCCCTGTTTCAATTTTCATGTTGTAGGTTGACTTTATTACACAAGGTTAATCTTAGAATCAGGATTATAGGAAATACATAAACTTTGATCTGCCCAATGTTCTGTGTAATACTGTATTGCTTTTACGGGCTTAAGACCAGTCAATATTCATTATAGCTTTACCCGTGACAATCAGGGTTAGAATTGGTCTTCAGTATCCCATGCTTGTCGTAAGAGGCGACAAACGGGATCGGGTGGTCAGGTTCGCTGACTTGGTTGACACATGCCATCGTATCCCAATGCTCATGCTGTTGATCACTGGATTGTCTGGTCCAGACTCGATTATTCACATACCGCGGCAACCATACAGCTGGAATATTGCTGAATACGGTGTTAAAAAAACACAAACTAAGTGAACCAAATCATTATAGCTATAGTGCTCTTTCTTGATGTTATATGTGTGTCGTCAAATTTCTTTGTTCCCTGTTTTTATGCCATGTCCACTGTTGACTTAAGCTTCCATCACATGCCTGCCGGAAAAGGACGTGCCCTTCTATTGCAATACAGTCCCCAAATTCTGTGTGGATGGAACGTCCGTCATATTTCCAGGCCTGATGGCCACCTTCCCCGTGACATCGAGCCAGTTGCACCTCCTTCGAATATCCAGAATCCATGCAGTGGATGCTGTGCCGTATCTCTCCCAGCTCACTCATGTCCCAGACCTGGCCTTCTCCGTTGTCATGACAAGGCAGCATCTCCAGCGCCACATCATAAGAATAGTCTCTGGCATCCACACACATTGACGGTTGTAAGGCGGAACGTATGTCGCCGTTGTACACTCCATCGCCCACGATGTACAGTTCTGGATGGACATTGTTCAAGTACCATCGAAATGACTTGCAATCCAAATCCTCCCGAAGTCTCTTTCTTTCAGAAACGTCTCCTATATCAACCAACTGACCGTCGGAGTTCATGGTGAATTTCTTATAATCGTCCAGCCATACATTACCAACTCGCCCTGTGTTACGGTGATAAGAGTAGTAACTCTTCACATTCCCATAATGATAATTTGAATGAGTACGAAACACATGCCCGACATGGGAACAAGGTATCAGTTCAATACGACCTCCACACATCCATACTTTCAAGCTCAGCTCTGTGTTCTCCCCACCCCATATCAAAAGTTCCGGGTCGTACTTTCCAAGTCTTTCAAACCACGATTTGCTTATCGTAAACATCCCACCCGCCATTGCAGGTGTGTGAATTGGATCAATCAGTGACTTAACTCGCTGTTTTTCTCTCTTAGGAACGTATGCCCAGTCATACGATAACAACGGGAAAGTCAGTATGGCTACGTGTATAGGATTTGAGTTTTCAATTCCGAAATTTTCACTGTTTATTGTCTCTGTGACCGGAACAGCCACTATCTTGGGATCGGTGGCAACCCTTGCCAGAAGAGGTTCCAGCCATCTCTGGAAACATTCACAATGACTATCTAGAAACGTCACAGTAGACGAAGCCGCAGCATCAAATCCAATTACCCTTGCCTTCATGAGCCCGATTCTAGTTTTGCTCCTTATAAGTCTGACTTTAGGAAAGTCAGCCAAGTATTCCTCCAGGGGTCTTTTGAGGTGTTCCCTCTCTGAAGCATCATCGACGAGGAGCACCTCCTTCAATAAACTTGCAGGTGTGTTGTCAAGGACGCTGTGAACAGACCTGAGCAACGTTGACCACGTCTCGTTCATGAATATGATAACAACGCTTGTCTGAGGTAGTGCTGGAATATTATACATTTCATTTTGGCACTCGTCGGGTTTAGGAAAAGGCGTTCGTCTCCGGAGAGGAATGAGATTACTCACGTATTCCCGGAAGCCATTCTCTTTTTCGCTCAAGTCATATTTCAGTCTTTCCTCTGCGGGTAACTTCTGTTTGTCTATGAGAACAGGTTGTCCCTTGTCCCCTGGACGAGTCAAGTTGAACAGGGTTTTCACGAGTGTCACGTCGGGCATGTCAGGTACAGATAACAACCTTGACGACACTGCATCTCCACGAAGGTTAGCCATTGTGTCACGTTTTCTAAAGACACTTGATGTTTGTCCACGGTAATTAAAAAACAGCATCAATGCTATGACAGAAAGGAACACGCTCCATGCTAGTTTCCTCCTTCTTGTCCTCAGCTTCAGATACAACATATCTCTCTCAAATAAAGCCAGCCAAATGGCGTTGTGCTTGTATTTATGACACGTATTTGGAACCATAAAAGAGTGCACGTGTCACTTATCTTATTGCTCCGTAATAACTAAGCAATGAAAGCAATAAAATCATCAAATCTATACGCGCCTGTTATTGATGGATAAGAAACCACGAAAGATGATCAACATGTTTTATTGATCTTGTACAATATGTCGGTTTATGGGTTTAGGCACCATGACGTACAACAAAGGCCACACGTGGCACTGAGGCGGAAAGATATCTCAAAGTACCTTTGTGCTGTAACAAGTAGTCTGTTCCGCAAACATATGATAAGTTATTTAATCACACACACACACACACACACACACATATATATAGATATATTCTATTATTTTATTCCTGTAGACATAGTACATGTTCTTCTTCTTACCATATGTCCTACAGGACATAAATACTTAAATAAATAAATAGTCATTCTTTCACACTTTCATACCCATGCATTCCAGCCTACACCTAAAGGTAAACAAGTCCACATATAAAATATTAATAATCTTAACTCGGTGCCCTTGGTATGGTACCTCCTGATCACTTGGCGCAGATCAGGAGAGTGCCCAGGTTCTCCACCGTCAGCACAGCCTTTCTGACACTCTGGGCAATACATGCTCGTCTCCCCGTGACGATCTGGGTTAGAATTGGTCTTCAGTAACCCATGCTCGTCTCCCCGTGAAGATCTGGGTTAGAATTGGTCTTCAGTATCCCATGCTCATCTCCCCGTGACGATCTGGGTTAGAATTGGTCTTCAGTATCATTTACAACTGACAATATATTTAATTTATTTATAATTGACAATTTTTTTTCCCTGTTTCCCCTGTTACAATAAAAGGCAATAGAGGCAGGGGACTATCGGGTCTTTTGCAAGTAAAACAAAGCACAAAACAACAACAACACAAGACTCCACAACACATTCACTCACCAATCACACTTACAAGTTTAAAACAATTACAGTTAGTTTGAGTTTAACTAAGAGTAGTTTTTAATACCTTACATGTATATATGAAGAATTTAACTAACAACAATATTAATATTAAATCAAACACATCATCAGTATGTACATATGTTCTCATTCCAAACACAGTAAGTTGCAGGTCCAATTTCATGTTGTGAACATGTTGACATTTATTATTCGATATTGACAATATTGATATGTTACTCAGAAGGAAATATGTGACACAATCTGGTGTGGTATTGTTGATTGCATATGGATTAGACGCCAGATGTCGTGTATCAAAGCTGGGAACTAGTGATTCTGTTTGCATAATTAAACTGTCCGTGTCAGCCTAACCTCGGAATCAAGATAATGTAATGGTTTAAGGTGGAAACTCAATGTTAATTGTCAATAATAGCCGAACAGGTGTCGTCATATGCATAAAGAAGGTACCATGTTATAAACATGGTGTTTAACGTTCTCACATTGCTGAATGCGGTGTTTAACAACTGTCATTACAGAAAATGCTGCGTACAACGTGAAATATGTAATCCTAAACTACCCGGGCCCATATTTTCATGTTAGTTCCAATGTTATAACACATGTCGTTGTCCTTTTTTGGGAGAAAGGAGCCAAGTTGGGCCAATCATGAAAAATATTTACTTTTTCGCTATGGCTACAGTTTTGTTTGGATAAGCCAAGAGGTTGGGGATCCAGATTTTGTTTATGTCTTTGCTCCAAACCTGTTTTAATAAAGAACACTTTCTTGTGCTCGATAGTTCATGTCCGACTGAAGTACCTGTCATTCAGAGAGATGTAGTTATACCGTTGCCAATGGTAACGTGCGATGCTTCCGGATCAATAGATATCGACCTGCCACGAATGACAGCCTTGACTATCAACGCATGGAGAAAGCGCCTCGGGTATGTATGTTATCGTAGCTATTCTACACCTATGCCTAGCTGGTACCACAAATCCTTTGCCATGTAAGGTATAACGACGGCAGTGCGGGTCGTTTGCGTGTATATTTGTTGCAACAGCTATAGAATTATCATTGCGGCGTTTATTAACGTAGGGTGGACCTGCCTATGTAGTGGTCTCGACACGCTATATGGTCAATCAAATTAAAACGAGTTTTACATAAACGAATGCTCGATAAATGGAATCATATTGCAACGTGGGGCTATTGTCTGTGAAATCTATACAAAACATAGAAATATATGTTGGTTGGTTGTGATTCAAATCTATGTTAAAATTATTGACTATTTTACACAGATGCCCGATGGTATAAACTCATACAAATTGTACAGATAGTTTCGTCCAAAATCCCATGCAAAGAACGTGATGTGACTGTCGGAATATCTGAGATGAAGCTGATAGTTATAATCATATTCATTCCGATACAAAATAATCCAGACCTGCTTGGAATATCCAATATATAGAACGGCACAGACTTCATCAGCAACCACGACAAACAGGACGCGGTCTCCCTGGAGCTATAAGGTTGGTAAACAGTACATGTTGGTCTTAAGCTTAGGAGCCTAGGTGTCCTTGGTTTTACCCTGTAACTGTAACATAGAGGGAGAGTGGAATAGTGGAGAACTGTAACATATATTGAGCGTAGTATAGAGGAGAACAGTAACACAGAGGATGTGTGGCATAGCGGAGAACTGTAACATAGAGGGAGAGCGGCATATGGAGAACTGTAACATAGAGGGAGAGCGGCATAATGGAGAACTGTAACATAGAGGAAGTGTAACATGTGGAGAACTGTAACATAGAGGGAGAGCGGCACAGTGGAGAACTGTAACACAGAAGGAGAGCGGCTTAAGGGGAACTGTAACACAGAGGGAGATCGGCATAGTGGAGAACTGCAACATAGAGGGAGAGTGCAGAAGATGAGAACTGTAACATAGAGGGAGAGCGGCATATGGAGAACTGTAACATAGAGGGAGAGTGGCATAATGGAGAACTGTAACATATATTGAGCGTAGTATAGAGGAGAACAGTAACACAGAGGATGTGTGGCATAGCGGAGAACTGTAACATAGATTGAGCGGGCATGAGAGGAGAACTGTAACATAGAGGGAGAGCGGTATAATAGAGAACTGTAACATATATTGAGCGTAGAATAGAGGAGAACAGTAACATAGAGGGAGAGCGGCATATGGATATGTAACATAGAGGAAGTGTAACATGTGGAGAACTGTAACATAGAGGGAAAGTGGCATAATGGAGAACTGTAAAACAGAGGGAGAGTGGCATTATGGAGAACTGTAACATAGAGGGAGAGCGGCATAATGGAGAACTGTAACATAGAGGGAGAGCGGCATATGGAGAACTGTAACATAGAGGGAGAGTGGCATAATGGAGAACTGTAACATAGAGGGAGAGCGCCATAATGGAGATCTATAACATAGAGGGAGAGCGGCATATGGAGAACTGTAACATAGAGGGAGAGCGGCATATGGAGAACTGTAACATAGAGGGAGAGCGGTATAATGGAGAACTGTAACATAGAGGGAGTGAAGCATAGATGAGAACAGTTATATAGAGGGAGAGCGGCATATGGAGAACTGTAACATAGAGGGAGAGCGGCATATGGAGAACTGTAACATAGAGGGAGAGCGGCATATGGAGAACTGTAACATAGTGGGAGAGCGGCATATGGAGAACTGTAACATAGAGGGAGAGCGGCATATGGAGAACTGTAACATAGAGGGAGAGCGGCATATGGAGAACTGTAACATAGAGGGAGAGCGGCATATGGAGAACTGTAACATAGGAGAAGTGAAGCATAGATGAGAACTGTCACTAGGGGCGGCATATGGAGAACGGTTACATAGAGGGAGAGTGGCATATGGAGATCTGTAACATAGAGTAACTGAAGCATAGATGAGAAATGTAACATAGAGGGAGAGTGGCATATGGAGAACTGTAACATAGAGGGAGAGAGTGACATAACGGAGAACTGTAACATAGATTGAGAGTGGCAAAGCGGAGAATTGTAACATAGAATTAGTGTAGCATATTGAGCATTATAAAATAGAGGGAGTGTGGCATAGTGGAGAACTGTAATATAGAGGAAGTGTAGCATGTGGAGAACTGTAACATAGATGGAGAGCGGCATAGTGGAGAACTGTAACATATAGGGAGTGTGACAGATGGAGAAAAGTAACATAGAGGGAGAGAGTCATAGCGGAGAATTGTAACATAGAATTAGTGTAGCATGTGGAGAATTATAAAATAGAGGGAGTGTGGCATAGATGAGAACTGTAACATAGAGGGAGCGTGCCGTAGTGGAGAACTGTAATATAGAGGGCAGGGAACATACTTGCCTAGCGCTTGTGACTGATCAATATGTGAAAGGTATATTCACCTGGAGTATATCGATTACCAACGATACGCAGATATATTACACAAATATTCTCACTTGACCGTGAAATGAGCAGGACGGGTCAAAATCATTTTGATGAATCTGTATTCGTTCAAAGTGACCGATCCACAATGCGACAATGAGATCGATACTACTCCCGATTTACCGTTCGTGTAATTACCAACTTTTACATTCTTTGAAAATGCGTTTCCTTTAGATCAATTAAGCGTTTCCTTTAGATCATAAACCCATTAACAGCACCAGTGGCACCACAGACACTTTGTAGTGGTTGCTAAGCTTATAAGTATACGACTGGCGTTCAAAAAGTAGTCCGTCTCACCTAGAAAATGATACAAATGCAGCTGTTTTTATGTTTTATTTTTCTACACATTATCTGTCAAACTCAAGCAAATTGCTTTTGCTTTGCTAGAGTTTGTGTGTTTGAGATAGGCAGTAGTCCGCTAGAATCAAACGTAGATATTAAAGTGCATAAAAAATCAATTTGAAACTACAAGTGCTTGTTATGTGTTCTATTTCTTGAAGTTTCAGGCCATTGGACCTCAGAACATAGGTTAATGACAGTAATGTGTACACATTGAATGGAAACGATACTTGAAAAAGGGTGATACGAGGACATCAGGTTTGTGATGAATGCTGTTTCAATGCAAAAAAATACCAATTTTGATAATGATAAAAGTGCGCATTTATATTCAGAGGACAACAGTTCAATAAATTTACTGTATGTAGTATTAAAATGATATATAGGCTTTAGGTTTTTACTTCTCAGATGTTTATAGGCACCACATACAAGCACAAAGTGATATTGGTGTTCAATTTCATAAGTTCCAGAACGTAAACAGTAGGCACATAGTCGGTCTTCTTGTTCTATGTTGAGATATCGTCCTTTCTCAATCATGAGGGTGTGGCAGGAGCATATGAATCTTTGTCTGAACATAAGTTTATCCACATGAAGGAGAGATGACTTGAAAATCGAGTAAGCATAAAGTTTAGACTTTGAGTTCATTGAAGTGTGCTATTGCAGAGTCTCTCACTCTCTGTTTGAATTCTGATAGGAAGGTATCGTCATGTCCGGCGTTCTGACACATCCATACATATCCAAATCCATATTGGAAAAGTGCGTTTTTAACGTTGGTAACCCATGAAGTTCTGCCGACATCATAGAGTTTTTTGTAACATCTTGTAAGTCTGTTTAGGGAGTCTTCCGTTGTCCATATGTAAGATTTTAGTGGGAGAGCCATTGTTAGGCACTTCTTCTGTGATAAATATCCTTCTGCACTGAAAGTTGTTAAGTTGTGCTTGAAAAAGTTGTTTAACAAACTATCATTAAAATATTGACACAGTTCACTATTTGTTTCGAGGGGAGGAGTGCAGAGAAAGGGACAGCCAGGTGTGCGAGAAAGGTTGGAGACGGCACAGCAACGGGTTAATGAATCAATAACTTTGTCGGCACTTGTGCACGTGCTTCTTTAACACCTGGCTGTGCCTTTCTCTGCACTCCTCCCTCGTAACAAATAGTAAACTGTGTCAAAATTTTAATGATAGTTTGTTAAACAACTTTTTCAATTTTAGGACATAAATTCTGCAAATAAATGACAGAGTTGGTCTGATGTTTTGATTATGATCAGCATTTCATTGAGTATTATAGGTTGATTAGTTTTCCAGTTAGATTGCAATTCATCGATCCGCTTTTGAGCCAAACGGACTATAAAGAAACTGATTTATTTCACTGCTCAGGTAATCTGTCTATACAGCTGTCACAATGTGTAGTATGTACGGAAATATCGTCGTCTACTTCATTCTGCATAGTCGTCGGCAATGTGGCTGTGTTCAGCAATGTTTCGAAATAATCCTTCCATTCTGTTGCTTTTATTTTATTTGTAGTTTTTTTCCTCTTTTGTGATTTTATTTCCTTCCATAATAAGTTTATGTCATGTTTCACTGATTCCACTTTCTCACGCAATGATTTCTGATAACTTTCTTTCTTCTTATTAAAGTTTGTCTTGAATTGAGCACTCAACGATTTGTAATTTCTCAAACTGATTTCTGTACTGTAAGTTCTGAACACATCCAATGCTACATAATTCTCTGTTTTTAACGCTTGTAACTCACTGTCCCGCCGGTGTACTCTCATTCTGCCTACATCTCATTCTGCCTACATATACGCAGTGAATTTAGAAGCTTGCGTCAGTGTTGACGCAATGCTACTGGGACCTTAGTTCGGATAATCTAAACTTTTAAAACTAAATGTTTGCAAGTTAACTGCTGATTAAATACCTGACCTTGATTTTTGTCGTTATCAAATAATTACATAATGATGTCTTGATGAAAGTTCGAAACTGAAGTTGAGTCCCAAAAACATATCCATGACTCCCTCTCATGACACCACGACCACGGAGTCATGATGACTCCTAAACTTTTATGGCTAGGGCAAACACTTAAAATGGAAGCTTTTCAAACATGGAGAATATAGCTTAGCTGACTAACATTTGAACGCCTATTCTATTCATGGACCTAGTTTCCCCAACACCCACCTGAACAACCTTCAACCGTCATGCAGCCTATGGAAAATCAAATTAATCCACGCTCACCGCAGGGAGTATTTAATTCTATTTCCTTCGTTATATAGTCACACCTGTAGCGCAGCTGCTGGGATATTGTCTATGTGGACAACTTTCTTCATTGCGTCACCTGCTTTGCAGTTGAAACCGGGGATTTTGGTGTTGTATTACAGGATGTGCAAGAGCTCAGCGTTAGGTGGAGACTGTTACAGTTGATGAAAGTACAGAGGCCTAGACCAACCTTGCCACGCAATACATTGCTGTCTACGGCCGTTTCCATCGGTGATTAATTTGAGATGAGGAGTGGACAGACTGCATGGTGAAAGTTTTAAGATATCACAGGCACCTGAAAAGACCGGTCAACGGAATGGTTACGGCACGAAGGACCCATAACTGAATGTGTTCCTGTAAAGAATTGTCAGTAGATACCCGAGCTCTGAGTCCTTTATGTCACGAGATGAAGGGTTAATCACTGACTGTGTTCCTGTACAGGATTATCGGTACTGACGCCTTTAGTGCCACGTGTCTCAATATGAAGGGCCCTTCAATGATTGTGATCCAGGAACGGATTATCAGAGGTAAGTTACTGAACCAATATCTGCTAAAGTTGAACCTTGCAGTAGTTGGTTGGCTTCTTTTTAGAAGACAAAGACAAGCGTATCCCCCTTTATTGAGTTGTTGGAATGACGTAGCAATCACAATGACTAATACTACCGTACTGAATGTAACAACAATGTATTTTATATAAAGCTCAACTTTAGCAAGCGTAATTTATTAAAATAATCCTGTTTAATGTTTAATGGACATCGATGTGATGTTAAGTAATTCTAGACTAACGCTTAGTCTCTGAATATAACTTGTGGGTAATAAATAAACCCATTGAAATAAACAAAGAGCCCAATTGATATTGGAAATTCAGAACCTGAGCCTGAGGAAATCTAGACTTGCTTCACTTAGAGGTTTGACATTTGAGGGAGGGCAGGCAGGTAGGAAAAATAATGTGGTTGAGGGACTGTTAGACGGACTAGAGTAATTCATACATCCATACAAACATAGGAGTATACAAGCTGGATTCGTTTTGGATTGGCTATATTGAGAACTGACTTCAACAACTGTTCAGTTTATGGAACGAAAAATGTATACGTTAAATCTCCAGTGTACATTGTGTAATTCTTTTATCCCTTTAATGCTGAGCGCCCAGCATGATAAAAACAGGTAATTCCTCTGGATGTGGAGAGTGCTTTGTTGCTTCTATTTGCAGGCGTTGATCAATGTGTTTCTATTGAATTACCGTTCTGAAAGTACTATGGAGATTAACATCAGTATTAGGGACTGGCTACTTGTCATTGAGGGTGACCCCTCAACATGAAATATTGCAAAGTGTTGCTGGTTTTACCAAACATCCCGAATGAATAAATATTTGCTGTTTTCATTACAACAGGGCGGTGACCTGCATCGAGAAAGTAAGAAAAAGAGGTACCAAAGAAGGTGTTTAACAAGCACAAGTAGAGAAATAGGGCCCCCAGTTGTCACATTCTCTGGTCAACCAAGCCCACATAGATTCTCCCATTTACATATTCAAGTTGAAAATGGGTATTCTCCGAGTGATTCTGAAAACTAAAGTGACAAGGGTAGCAGTTGCTGTCATCTGTGCACAGATCATCTTCCTCCTGATCCTTCTGCTCAGGACGACCAGTACATCGTTCAGAACGTCTTTGAAAGTTCCTGTCAATGGTACAAACAACGCTCCATTGTTAACATATAATGTGAACTCGTTGAACAAAAACATACGATTGGGTACGTCAAAATCGATGTCGACCAGTGCATCTTTGAAAGTTACTGGCAATGATACAAGCGTTGCTTCATTGTTAAGACATCATGCGAACTCGATGAAAACAAATGTACCATTTGGTACTTCAAAATCGATGTCATCTACAAGCCTTAATAGAACCCTTGATTACACATTATATCCATACCGAGATTCTGGAACGTATTGTCATTTGAATGCTTCAAGCAGATGGGTTCCATTTAAATCTGAAGAATTACGCCTTCTCAATCAATGGTATTCCTCAATAGATGATTTCTTTTCAATCAATAACACACAGCCACTGAATCTCCCAGAAGACGATGGTCCCAATTTGTATAAAGATTATGACTTGAAGAAGCCATGGAACTTTACTCTTCCAGATCTGAGTAACGAAGACTTCACATACATAAAAGGAAAGCTTAAATGTTATAAACCAGGCACGTCCAAAGAGCTTAATGTCGGGTCTAACGTGACATGTGTTTGTAGCTCAAGTTATGCAGGGAAACATTGTTCTGTGCCAAACATCGTTAAGACTGCCTTGTCCAAATTGTCTCGCAGTTATATCATCACCCCAAGAGAAAAGCCACGACGGATTATTCTGGTCATGACATTTAATATGGAGCACCATGTTCTCATGCTTAAGATGCTACAAGTGCATTCAGCCGTGGATCTGTTTGTGATACTGGAATCTAACTATACTGGACATGGAGATCCACGGCCGTTAAGGTTATTACACAATTTGAGAAGAGGATACATGAAGCGATTCCACCACAAGATAATGCACGTCTATCTTGACACCTTTCCAGCTGGTGGACGAGCTAATGGTTGGATTGCTGAAACCTACATCCGTCAGCAACTTGCACCTGCTGTAGAGGCTAGAGTCTCAGGGCTTAGAAAAGATGATTTATTCGTATTTATGGACACTGATGAAACACCATCAGTGAACCTCCTGCACTTCCTCAAACTTCACAATGGCTATCCTTTCCCTGTAGGATTTTTTCTTCAAGGTTTTATATATGGATTCTTTTGGTTAAACCAACATCCAAAAATAGTCATCGGTGTGAGTACCATTCAGATGCTTCGAGACGTCTATAAAGGAAGTAGTGATGCAATTCGTGGAAGTAAAGGAGTGATAGGACAACTCCAGAAAGGAAGTCACCCCTGGGGTATGTTTGAAACCTGGCTGATCGGATCACCTGACAACTATGCTGGATGGCATGCATCATGGTTCTCCTCGCCAAGGGAGGTAATCACGAAGCTGACTTCCGCTATTAATGCTGACTTTCCCCGATGGGGAGACTACCCAGACAAATGCACATTTGACTATGTTGCTACTCTGTTTAGAAAGGGGGAATACTTTGATGGAAAGAAGCAATTCAATCAAAGTTGTTTCAACGACATATATGTATTGAAGGAGATTTCTTATCTGTTCAAGTATAAAGGATACTTCAATTTTATGCTACAAAATCCAACAGTCGTGCAGTAACTTACGACTGTATCTTATGTCCCCAGAACGTACATATGTCAGTACAAAAGTGCCTCATATATGTATTATAATGGATTTTACCTTTCGTTAATTGTATACAATTGTTTGTGTGCAATACCTTGTTTGTAAATTGCCATCAAGCGGGAATTAAAAAACAGAAATATTATGTTATTACCCTATCTTTTACTGTGTGCTCTGTGTGTAGAAGAATGACAGAATGTTTGGAATAGCTGTTCTGTCATATCTGTGATGATGGCAGCCAGCGTCAGGTGAGGGAGCACTCTTTCTGAATGGACTTCTCAATTTATTATTCTCTGGTAACACTGCCATAAGATACAATGATCAAAACTAAGTAATCTAAGGTAGTGTTAGGCAAACTAAGCTTAGGCAATTAAACCAATGTATACATTTGATACAAAGATTTACAAAGGTGGCTATACCCTGAAACGCCTCACAATTTTTAAGGTGGTTGTCCTCTGAAACTTCTTCCCTAAGATGTTATGGTCAACAATAAATAACCAAACAAGTAGGCGATAACACGAATTGTTACTTTCAGTAGAACTTTTGAGGAGGTGATTGCCCTTTGGACTCACTACCCCAAAATGCAAACCTTGTCATCTGAGATCATTTGACAAAAAAATGAACTATTTTGAAAGGTATTTTCATTGCGACTCACAAGTCACAAACATTGTGTAACTCTTGTCAAAACACAATAAGTGCTCTGCTGCGATGTTGCCTGTGCGTCACGTTCCTGGCCCCATGAAGCCTGTTTAGTCGATGTTGATGGGTTATAATGCCACGCCCCGAAATGGTTGACAGAACAGGATGCCCACTGTAACAGCAGACGCAATCAAATGTCAATTCCTCTCTATGCTTTTAATGTTCATTGTTGCTTTCTTTCGTACTAGATATTGCTACATATTCTTTCTTTGCGACAGACGATTGACCGTAACAAACTAAACAGAGTAAATTACTGCAGCGGTCTACAGTACTGTTCTATCAAAATGTTAGCATGTTCTTTCAAATGTCATTCAGTCTGTTGATTGTTTCTATAAGTTCTCAGGTTAGTGCCGCGATCTCATCAATTTCTTTTCACTTGACCTCGTTTGGTGATAAATCGCCGGACAGCATCAATAAAGGAATCAATATCCGGTGAGCAGGCTACTTCATATTGCAAGGCATCTAGATATCACCCCTTACCTTTTCACGACCCGATACCCGCGCTCGGTCGAAATAGGTCCGAACTAGTTCATTACAACTCGGGAAAATGGCGGCTGGTCTGGAGTGAGCCCTCAGCTTTTGGCTTGCTGCAAGTCACTGATATTTTTCGCACCCCACATGCTAGTTCTGTAGGTAAAGTATGTGTGGCTCCTCTGCAGTCTGCAGTGTACCCTAAGATGGCTGAAGATTTAGAGCTTTTCTGTTGTGTAACTTCTCTTCTGTACTTCCTCTTTCAGTTTCTCTATGGCCAAGAGATTCCAGGCTACAGACCTTTTCACTTTGATCCAATCAGAGCAACGATTCAATACTCTGTCCATTATTGTATCTGGTGGCTGTATAATTGCAGTATTTGAAGTCTTTTTCACCTCCTGGTGATTCTCAGGTATTGCATTTGAATTAGTAACCGTCCCCACAAGTGGCCACTTCTTTATTTAGTGGAGCGGCTAAGCAGATAAATTGTGCATTTAATGATAAAAGCATGCAACTTTGCACATTGTTAGTTTGATGGATAGTGAACATTTCAGGATATGGAGGCACTTAAAATAATTTCATTTTGCGCATGCGCAGTAGATACTTAATATTTTGCCTTTTCTGGCTACCGTTATAGCTTTGGGGCTGCCATCAATACACTAATGGGATGATTTGTCCCGAAAATACTGACCTGAATTACTGGCTAAACATCTTAAAAATATAGCAGGGTCAATGTTATGAACACCGGCCATCGCACCAACAGAGTCTAGTGCATTTAAGTGAAGACTGTTTGCATCGGTTGTTACAGCCCTTTCTACAGCCACGAGAGACCAACTCCTGACAAGATTGTGATGCTTGGTGTACTCTGTTGTCCAGTAGGGAACAAACTGTCCACTTTCCTTCTGTGTCCAGCCCCACTCTGTTGGAGATGGGAGTTCAGGCTGTGGAAGAAGTGACTGACCCCATATGTGGCCTGCCTGGTAAGCAGCCCTTTTGACATGTTGAACAAGAGCTGCATGTGTTGGTGGGATGGCATGAATAGAGTTTTTCTTTGCAAATAGTCTCTTTCTGGCTTGATCAACATTTGTGCCAAGGCTGGTCCTGTCATACATCAATATGATGAACTTCTCAATGATTTTCATGACATCATCTGTGATGCTTCTTGGAGCACTAGACAGAGCAATTAGAGCCTGCGTCACCTCTGGAAAGATTTCCCATGTAGTCCAGGCTGTCTTCTTGCCGTGTCTTGCAAATACTGATACAGTATCACATCCTGTCAGAGCATGAAACATTGGAAGAGCACGCGATTTCTCAGGTCCAAGACATGCTTTGATTTCATGAGCTGCCAAGTAACGAAGAGTTTTTCCTGTCCCAAAGGCAAGCCACAGTTCGGAATGAATTGGCAACAAGATCTGGGGAACCATGACTACAAGCACGACAACGTCTGTATCTACTGTTCGTATCATAATCCTGTCATGGCCATGTTTTGCAGCATGAGCAACATGAAGCATTATGCAACTATCAACTTCTTCGTGGTTGCAAGGGACAAGGGAAGACAAATCAGGTTGTAGAGGAACACAAAGTATCTCTTCTCCTTCTGTGACAATAACTTCCTTGTGCTGCTCTTGGACAGACTGAATAAGGGCCTTTGTCAAAAAGTGGAAAAGTTCTCCCTTGTTGCGATCGTCATGTAAAAAGCTCTGCCAGTTAACTAGCATGGTAGCAGTACCAATAACGTGTCTTTGAACACCTGTACCCCGTTGAGCTCTGACAGTTGCTTTTAGACTGTTGCTTATGTATCTATCCCAAATCAAATCCAAACGTGTCACATTTCGTAGCTGTGAATGGATGTATGGTATGAAAACCTCACGAGCATATTCATCAAATGTTTTGACTGTACCAGGCTTCAACATTTGTACAGTGACAGCGCCATCAACAATCAGACTGGTAACAGCTGGCATTTCTGATACTGCTGGAGCACTTGCTTCAAGACATGCCAACAGGTCACGTTTGGTTCCAATACGCAGGGATCCATTTTCAGATAAGGATGGTGGATACGTCTGATTTTCATGATGGAAAAATTCATCTAAATTTCCGCCTCGTGTCTGACAGCCAATGTACATCCTGGAATAGAGTTCCATGTCAGTCTTCATTGTTTTCAGTTCTTCTTTACAATGTTTTATGGCCTTCTATTTTGAGCTGCCAAACAAAGTTAGATTGTTGCGTGAAATAACACTGCTGATAGGCTTTGTTCTGTCCACAAGACATTCCTTTGTAAAAGTTTCAAACTGCTCTTTTCCTAGCTGCTCTACACACCTGACAGATTTCAGAACCTCAGCACCTGCTATTTCTCTGGTATCAAGGACAAGCAAATCTGGACTGTCCTCCTCAAAGGGGTTTCTCCGAGTTCTTGGATGACAGCTACAAGAGAACTGACATCTTCAGCAAAATCTTTTTGTACACATGTAGTCTGATCATGATGGTGTATTTTTTGTCTCCCCTTTTGATGTAAGACATTCTCAAATTCTCCAATCACCCTTGACACCTCAGGTCCAGAAACCATCCAGCGTCTGAGTGCACTTGGATTTTCTGTAAGTCCAATGGCACCACCATCCCCCCTTGATACAGGCATTATTTGACTCATGTGCTTGATCAATTGGAATTGCAGAAAATGCACGCTTTGTCTTCTGTACTGTGAAGTAGCTCAAGTTGAATGCTGTTGCTACTGTTGGATTGGTGTCTGATAGCTCGCTCATATCTTTGAGATGAACTGGTATCCAACGAGCCTAGTTAGTGTGATCCAAGGCAAAGAACCATGGAACAAGTTCTGTTAGCACATCCAAGTACATGGCAAAGTTTGCTTCTTGTAGAGAACGCACATATGCTAGAATGCATAGCTCTAGTTTCAAGGCAATTTCCCAGAAGTGAAACATAGGAGACGTCTCTCTTCGCTTGGTACACGAAGCATAAAAATCCAGCGTATCTTCTCCTTCTACGTGAGTCGAGGTAGCATATGTTTCATAGGCATTATGCTGTAAAATATCCAGTGAAGCTGCTGTGATTTGATGAGCTCGTCGTGTGCGGGTAACATGCATTGCCTTGATGAGAGAATCTGCTGTTCTAGGTGTTGCAATCTCTGCCTGTACAAGGGCATGTGTCCATCCATCCAGCAGTTTTTAAGGCAGCCATCTCAATATGTAGACCCCCAAACAAAATGACAAATTTGTTTTCAGCATATTTCTCAGGCCACTTCCACTGTATTTGCTTGGCTATAGCATACAAAGGCTGGTCAAATGTTATGACACAAGACTGTCCTGGGTTCAAATGTTCTACAGCACTCTTCACTACATCCATAGAATGTTTGATCATTGACACTGTGTGAGCACTTTCCTGGAACAGAGGAAGAAGAGCTGATTTGGAAATAATGCTATCTTTGTATTGGCCTTTGTTGGCATGATATGCAGCCCATGATATATTCATGTGATGGATACCATCTGTTGTGCTGATCATCCTTCTTGTGTGTTCCAACCATTTCATCTCCTCGTGCATGTGTTTATAGTAGTTGCTCCTGTTCAGACTTATCAATTCCCCCCACTGAGATGTTTGATCACTTTGACGTCTGAAGAAACGGAAGGGACATTTGTATAGTAGTGTGGCAAATGTCTTACAGTCTTGGAACTAAAATGCCCATTCATCGAGGTTGTTGTACGATTACAACCTTCACTTTCAGTTCTGCAGTGCTGAAACAGCGATATGCTAGTTCCATGAAATGAATCTTTGGCGGTTGATGAGCTTGGGTTGTGATCAATGTTGTCAACAGCAGCAGTTGTGAAGACTTGACCTTGCAATGTCAGAGGGCAAACAACATTTTCTTTTTCAAAGTGTTCACACACCCCCGTTGCCTGAATCAGTTGAGATATAGAGTACTCTGTCATAAGAGATGCTTATGCCAAGATCATGTAACTTGTCAACCAACTCCC